TATAGACGGATGGATAGAGACAGAAATAGACAGACTCACTGAGCCTGAAATCATATGAGTGTTTCCATTTTTGTCTGTCAGCTGGGTTTTTATATACAAAGTGGAAAATCACATTTAAATGTTTGCATTCATCAAATATGCCACCTGATAGTGTGAAACCATGACACAGGAAGTGCCTTATATTGCGCAAAGGGTCTACTTCTAATTGGTTTGGGACAAAAGTGTTTTTATTAAATTGTATGTCATATATTTGTAAATCAATACATCACTGTCAAATTAATGGGCAACAAAGTATAACGAAGTAAAGACAGTAACATACAATTTAGGCGCTATCGGAGCAAGTCCTAGAACATCATGAAAAGCAAAGTAAGACTGTGGCCGAGCTAGTTTTCTAAATATTTATTTTGTCAGATTTATTTTCTGTTTTGTATTTCCACCATCTACACTTACTTTTCGGGTGTGAGGAATTATTAAAGCTTTTATTACAGCATATTAGGGCCACTGTAGGTAAAAATAAATAAATAAATTACGGAGCCAGGGGAAGGGGGGCAATATTCTGTGAAAAACTGTTTTTTTTTTCTCTCATTAATGATCCAAGACAAGAGTCAGTGCAGACATAAGAGAAGAGGTGGAGCTTTCACACAGTTAGGCAGATATGGGGGACTGCAACAAAGCCACTTGAAAGCATGTGTCACATCTTAGTCATTTATAAATGCCTGCAGTTTTTTGAACAGAAGGAAGTATCTCATAAAACTGCTTGGTGAAAGTATGTGATGGCTGATGTTATTAACATCTGCATTCCCTGCTTTGTACAGTGTAAAGAGCCTTTAATAACACAAGCTCATCTGAATATTAATATTACAGTATTTTTAGTATTTAGTACCTTTAATTGACCTAATATCCTGTCATAGTCATTTTCCTGTTTTGTAAACCTATTTCCCTTTTGTCCCACAGTAGCTTTAATGAGTACATTAGTACATATAAGTACATTACTGTAACATCAATGTACAGATTGTTATGTATTGAAATGCCACAATGGAAAAAATAATCTGTAAGCTGCATTAAAAGATATTTTTATATCAACAGTGGTATCAAGTATCTGCAAATGTCATCACTCACAGTGATGAATCAAGCATCTGGATCTGCAGTTTATTCAGCTCTACAAGGCTTTTTAGTGTCATTCAGGTGATTATTTTGGTTGTACAGGCTACTTAGTTATTGTGGTTCACTCTCACTGGTCTAATTAGCCTTTAATAATTAACTAGCTGGTGAACATAGTTGAACATTAAGCAGCTTAAGAGCCAGATATTTTCCTCAGGAGTTGGGGGAGGCTAAAACAGAGCAAAAAGTAAAAAAGTTCATCCTGAATGTTAATCATTTTGTTTGTTGTCTTCTAAATGTTTGATACTGATAAAAGGTAAATGTTGTGTTTACAGCTGGTGGCCTCACAATCAGTGAATGTAGGTTTAGGGTTACACCCACACCGGCAGCATCCTAACAGCGCCAGTCTATTTCCCAACACACTGACGCGTCAAAACAGTTTTGGTTGAATGTAACCTCAGATCTTTTGTTGGAAAGCACACATCTTCATCCTCCCACTATGGTTTCCTGTTGACTCACTGTCTAAACATCATAATGTTGATGTAGTGTAATGAGCTTAGCTCATGTCTAAAAAACATTCAGATGGATGTTTTGTTGTTGAGCTCAAGCAGTTTTGACTCTGTCTACCACACACACACACACACACACACACACACAGAAACACTCCAGCTAGAATTACTTTTATTGTTTTGATTTAAGGCTGAAGATGATGTCACCCTCCTCATCATGGTTACTAAATTGTTCCTCTGTTCATGTTGGTGCTATTACTAATGGTGTGTGACAGAGGTTATGGTGCTACAATATGTGAGACATGGGTTCTACAGTGACTTGCTCTCAGTCTTTCAGTCTTTCTCCCTTCCTCCAGCTGTTCCTCACTCTCTTTCTTCTTTAATGAGCCTGTATGTTGGATTGATCTAAGCCAAGATCTGGCCCAGCAAATTGCTTTATTTTGCTTTCAATTCCTTTTTGGAAGCAAGAATTTGGCAATGGGCATTTATTCATGTGTCTTATAGGTTTTAGCTAACAAAGTCATGTGTTTCCAACAGCGGATAATAACAGTTCATTTTATTTAACAGAAGAACAACTCTGTAGTTTGTATTTGCAGCAAATATGCACTTTGGCTGAACTGACAAGAGTTCTAGCAACAAAGACAGCATTTCTTGACTTGTGTTTAAATTTGTTGTTTGACATTTCAGTGTTTGACATTAAGATTTCAGGGTTTTTCCTGGATCAATCTGATCACATGCACACATGAACGTGTAACGTGCCTTCAACTGGCTAAAGCAAAGACTTTTTACAAGCATGTATGTATTTTATGAGTTCTAATAATGATATGATTGAAGAAAATAATTATCACATTAATGCACATTTAATAAAAAAACAAAGGTGCCCTGTTCTACATTAAATCAATACAACATAAAAGTTCATGTGTTAATATAAACAGTTAACAAACAGCAAGTTGTTTAAAAAATCAAACATACGCTGTTTTCATTGATAGTTCAGGGTCCTCTTGCAGTATAGCTGATGTAAATTCCTCGATATTAAATGTTCATCTGTAACTTTCTATAAACACTAGCTTTGTAATTGCTGTACAGGACCAGTCATACATGTAGGCACATAGAGCAGTGTTCACGAACACAGATGTGTTTATGTGTATTGTGTATTTTTAAATTCCAGCTGACAATATAAAACTATATTAAATATCGAACGGCGTGGAAAAAAAGATTTGTTTTCTTTAGTGATTATTTCTGCTGTGTGGCAAGAGCGTTACCAACACCTGTTCATTCTGAAAGCACACTCTTGCGTTGCTGTCTAGCCAAACAGACTCTTCTTCCTCTCTGGAAGTTTTGGCAGCATTTTTCCTGGAAAATGACAGAAATCCATAAAGTGCATCAGAGCTAGATGCGGGGAAGGCTTTGTTATTCTCTATGCAGGAGAAACCCTGGATTTTCATTTTGGATTCGACTTTCACTTTAAATTGTGTTGTTAGAGTTACACACCTGTCCGAATTGACAGCCCAAGCACCCGGTGTAATGTCGCTATAATCGTCAGTTCAGATCATTTCTGTTCAGTAGGAAAGAATTTATTGACAAGGGCACATGTTAACACAGATTAGCAGTGTGCGGTTGCTGAACTGGTAAATTCAATCAGAGTAGTATGTCTAAGCTCAAACTGTCTGTTTCTTTGTCCAAAATCTAGTCAGTACCATGAATTGTCAAGCTGAAATAGCGTGTGGTTAACACGACACAGGCCAATCCACAGGCATTTCATGGCTTTTTAGAATTTGAAAACTGAAATATCTCAGCTCTCAATATCCCCTCATTACTTCTCTCTGCCCATATGGAAGAGCCAGTATTTATAAATCACACAAGACAACCAAAATGGACAAATATTTTGACTTTCAGAGTATTATTATAGATTTACAACAGAAGCATTAATAAGGCTTTATTTATTTTCATGTTTTGAAATTGATGAATGTTTTGATCTTGACTAAATCCCTCCACAGAACAATGAATGTCCAGTTACAGCTTAGAAACTGCAACTAGGCTTGGCAGGTCTGTCAAGCTTTGGATTTGTCACCATGCCAAAGTGGTGTGGTAAAAGCAATTCCTGGAATTTAAAGAGTTTGGAAGGTGGTGTCTATGTTTTAATTTTTTTTAATCTTTTTACAAACCAAAAACACATGAGCAAAATTGTAAGGAATACTTTAAAAATTGCTGCAACAGTGACAAGACATAGATGGCTGCCTTCGGTAGCCGTAACATGTGTGTTTATCAACTCTAACATAGATGCAATCTTTACAATGAGCTTAGCTTAGCTTGTAGCTGATTGTTACTTGCAAGGCCACCTTCACAAGGACACATTTACTGTATGTATTTCCCCCTGTGGTAGAGCCAATCCTGGAAGTTAACAGAGATCAGGCTAATGTTAGCGGCCAATGTCCTGCTCTGTAAGCATTACTTGATATAACGTTAGCCAAACACAGTCGCCAAAGAGCCTTACACAGCAAATTAACTCTCTGATCTTATCTTTATATCGTGCGTATAATAGGTTACTGGGACTATACTAGCTCCAAACTTTAATACAAGAAAAATGTTTTATTTAGGATGTAAATGCTCCGTACTTGTATAGCGCCTTTCTAGTCTTTTCGACCACTCAAAGCGCTTTTACACTACATCTGCATTCACCAGTCATACACATTCATACACTGAGCCTAAGTGCTCAAACGGAAACTAACATTCACACTCACTCATACACTGGCGGAATAGCCGCCAGGGGCAATTCGGGGTTCAGTATCTTGCCCAAGGACACTTCGACACGCAACCAGGGGGAGCCAGGGGGGAGCCAGGGATTGAACCGCCGACCTTCCGATTAACCTCCTGAGCCACAGCATGTTTCATCAACTCGTGTGGATGCTGACTTATTCCCTGGGACATGCTTTTTAGCCTCAGTCTTTAGGCTCGGTATCATAAATGTAGCCATTAAGTGCATATTTAAGCCCTTTAGACATGGTTCTAGTTTTAAAATAAGTCAGCTGGAAACACTTAAAACTCAGCTGGAGATGGTATTTTCAACCAACTCATAACAGTAGTTTCATTAGCTCATTTTGGCCAGCTAAATCAACAGTCACTGTCTAGAAATGAAAAGTATGCTTCCGTCTACCTCTGTCTGATATCACAGACCCATTTTTTCAAAAATGATTAGGAGATTATTTACAATTATAATTTATAAAGAAAATTGCATATGTGCAGTGTGAGAAAAGAAACCTTGGCAGTGGCTTTGACTGGAGTGGATGGATCTGCTTTACTTTTTATTTGCTTTTAACTCTCATGTAATTTGATGGATCTATGAAAAGTATTGAAGTCAGTCTGTTTCTCTCTCTTCTTTGTTTTCTCCAGGTCAGCCTACCAAATGACTCCAGCTGTGTTGAAGAGATTTTGCGGGTATGTTGCTTGGGCACACACACAAACACACACACACACACACACACACACACACACACAGAGTACTTGCACTGATTATCAGCTGTTTTGTGTTTGCTCACAAAGAACTTCATCTCTCTCCCGAGAGTCTGGTTTTAAGGAGGAAAGGACAGGGCTGAAGGGAAAAGAGAAACAGAGGGAATAGGGGGCAGTGGGAGGGAAAAGAAAGAGATCTGTTGGCTCGGGTCAATGATTATACAAGTTTTTGTTTTTGTAGGATGACTTCATGCAGAAATCTTTTCCACAATTTTCCTTTACCCTCCTTTCATCTCTCTGTCCTCCTCTTTTCCTATCTGCATGTCATCAAAACTACATCAAGCGTCACTCTTTCCCCCCTCTTTCCCCTCCTGTCCTCCCCTGTCTTTTTGTTTTGTTACTGTGTTCTTTCAGCAGGATGTCTAAACAGAAATGTTTTCCCACAAACCTTCTCGCCAGACAGAAGATTTGCAGCTATAAAGACAAAGCCCCGTCTCTGACTGCTTGATGTCAAGTTATCTTTTTCTTTCTGTCTTCCTCTTTGTATTTGTCTCCATCTCCTCTCTCTTCTTTGTCATATCACGTACTGTGCTAGCTTTCTCTTTCTCTCCCTGTCTGTCTTCTTCTCTTCATTCTTCTCTGCCCTCTGTCATTCACCTCTCTCTCCCTTTCACAAATCAATATGCTGGCCAACAGGCTGTGTGACAGATAGCGTGCTGTGAGCTGCATAAAAAGCCTTTGCCAATAATATCGGTGCGCTATTGAATACAGTCTGTGGTTTTTTGCCATGTCAAGTGGAAAGATCGAGGAGTTCAAAATGTGAGGTGAGGTGAATCAGAGCGGAGGCCTACGGTTCATTTTTCCCTTTCTGTGGCGGCACAGCTACAAGTCAGTCGTCACAGAAACATTGTTGTTTTGGATGTTTTCACAGTTCAAGGTAACAGTGTGTATCAGATATATTGTGTACGGAAGTAGAGCTGCATGAAACTGACTCTAAATTGCCATCGTTCAAACCTTTAGAAGACCAAACTGACTTCTGATACAATACATTAGCATATGACATGGTAACTAATAATAAACAAGTATCCAAACAATAAAGATAGATATTTAGCAATCCCAAGTTTGGATATAAGGGAAACACCCTCTTCTTCTTCGCTTCCTTTGTGTCTATTATCTCCTATATCAGGACACCTCAGACTTGCCAACTAAACAAAAGAAAACAAGGTTGGGGTCAAATAGTCAAAAATAATTACGTCTTGTTCAAAACACTTTCCCTTGACCTTAGTGAAAAACGACATGAGGTGTTAAGGGAAGATGTGAATGATGAATTCATAAGGATTTAGGTAAAGACAAAGAGAAATTGCTGAGAGAATGTGACTGCACTTACACTGGGCTTTTCTTTTTAAACCAACTTTATTTCTACCACATAGAAGATAAGTACAGTGACAAACTCAGTCCTTTACAATTCAAGTAAGGATTCCTGTCCAAAACAGAATCACACCTCCTAAGAAAGTTTTCATTTTACACATAGTGTGCATGTATCCATCAATTACTTCAATTCAGTTTACAAAATAGATACTATTGAAAAGAAAAAAACAAAACAAAACAAACTAGACTGAAATCTTAAAATAATATGATAACATGAAAGGCAATATAAAATTTGAGAAAGCTGAGCCATGAAAATAATAATTCAATTAAAATAAGGAACTGAGCAAGGAGGTAGATTAAATAATCTTCAGACATATGTATATAGATTAGTGGGATGGGTCCCTTTTACCTTTTTATACATTTAAGTAGAGAAAATACATTTTTTAGTGCATTCCACAATGGGAGGATGTTATGATGATATTGTTAACAAGAAATTCAATATGCTTGTTCTTCAAGATTACTCCTGGATAGATTTGAAAGAGAAAAAATCTATATTCATGGATTTGGAGCTCAGACAATCATGCAAGGATTTCAATTAGTTTTGGATCGTATCATGAGCAGAAATGAGGCGCTCTGTTGTTTCTACATTTATATTGGTCTGCCATAGTGAAACTACAATAGTGCGGTGCTTAAATGTTGCTGCTGCAAAGAATTGAGGGATGGCATTATATCCTTTCTGTTTGTAAAGGATGGTAAAGTGTTTGCCAAAGGATATAAGAAAGGAAGCATTGAAGCACCTTTACTTATTTATAGAATTCAACCAGCTGTTATCATGGCTGCCACTTTTAGGTCATTTCACTCAGTTTGGAACCTTCCTAAGCAAAAAAATACTATCTGACTGCAGCCTGTGTATAAAGGGTCATTTTCTGCCACCCCAACATGGAGGTGATGGAGGTCCACACCACACAGCACACAGCGAAATATGTTTTGAGAAATCCACAGACCTCACTTTCAACTCTTTTCACTGGAACAACTTTATACAAAAATAGTCCCTATAAAAACTGAGAGGGCCGTGGAAGCAGAAATCTCACAAGACAGATATCCTAAAACCTAGACAAATAAAAGCAAGACTATCGGCATTGATAGATGAAGCACCACTAGTTTTCTTTCTTTTTTTTTCTGGTAATTTGGGTGAACTCACTTTAAATTGACATCCGCTTTTTAAAGATTAGCTTAGGGTCAGTTTATATAGTATGTTTGTATTAGGACTGTTGTCATGGTTACCTAAAGTTTCATTAACTTTTCACTGTGATTTTGGAAGGCAAATAAACTGCTGATTGTAACTATGTTTGAGGTATCCTACTTAACCATTTTATGGACACCCCCCAGTCCGAAATGAGAAATATTTATAGTGAAAAAATTAGGGCTGGGCACGTTTATGTGTTATTACCGCGTTCATTCATTAATTAATTAACACCGACAATTATTTTATCGCACATTAACGCAGTTTTTATTGTTATTATTTTGAAAGTCCATTGCTCTCTGGCTCTGAATACACATACAGTCAAACCATGGGCCACAGGAGGGGTGGGATGTTGATCAGCCTGCAAATCACCCACCCAAGCAAGCAGCTGGAGGCTTCGGCAGACTACGCTGGGTGCAGCGTGTGCGTGATCAAATGCCATAGCGAAGTGGATAGCTACACACTGCATGCTGATTAGTATTGGGGAAGATGTCGGTCTTAGGAACGTTCTTAAAATCACAACGTAGTCGCTTGGTCCCGCTCTTTGCTCCGGTGATCAGACAGGGAGACAAGCACTCCGCGAGTAAACGGCAGGCGCTCTATGGAGAGTAATCATGGCAACGGCTTCTGTGTGCCACACAGCTGTAGCCTATTTACCTAAAGTTAAAATTATAGGCTACATAACTGATAGGCCTATATCTAGTTTTGCGGGGATGCTCTGCCATGTGAATTCCCTCCTGTTGATGTCCTGTTTAGTAAACAGAAATAGATTCTGGAAACTCACAAACAGTGACGATCAGTCTCTCTTCCAATGATTTGTGCTCCATGTCACACACCAAAAATTCAAGACAATTCAACATTGGCAGCGGGCGTCTGTGTGAGTGAGGTGAGCATGCATCGCTACGCCTTGCTCGACCACTTCACCTCACTCTAACAGGGAAACTTGATACGGATTGAACATCGACTGTTGATGCTGCTTCCTGATAAAAGAAAAATGTTTCTGCTGATACCTGTTCAAAAAAAAAAAAACACAGAGAAAACTGGATTACATTAATGTTAAAGTTGAGATTTACTAGAAATAATTTTATTCCTGCTGTGTAAAGGGAATACTGCTGGTAAAAAGCATCTTATTTGTTGAAAGTGTTTGCAAACCACATGTTATTGCGCTTTTGTGTACATAGCAGTACATTTAAATTAAAAGTACGCAATACACTACTTTTGAATTCATTATTTAATTTTGCGCGTAACAATGCGAAAACATTTAAATGTTGCCCAGCACTAGAAAAAATCTATGAAAACTTTTGAATCTGAGTCTGAATCCGTCGTATCTTCCACGGACCAATGTTCACCGGAAGCATTTCAAGACTTCAAGCTGTCTGCTCTTCAGCAAACACATTTCCAACATTGTTTTACCAAAATAATTTATGGTTAAGAAGTTCTGAAGACACGTTTGCATCTCATTTTATTTTGATTTGGTTATAAATACTTGTGTGTGGCTATACTTAGGTTCAGTGCATAAATTTTAGTGGCATATTGTGGTGTAGGTTGCAAATTGCAACCATTGGCTCATGATGCATTCACGAGCTACTCAGATGGTCCCATTCCCAAGTTGAGAAGACGTTCTTCCGACTTCTGTGTGTGTTCATGCGCTCTTAAGGCAAGACACCCCAGTCAAAAATGGTGACTTTGCTTGTTCTGCACTCAATCTGTTATTTAGCAACTATTATTAGTTGGGCTGAACGATTAATCGCTTTCAAACGGAAATTTGAAAGAACGTGATTAGCTAATCGTGAAGACTGCGATTAAAAATGTAGGTTAATTGTACTGCGCATCTGACCTGTTTTAAACAATCATGGAGCTACAAATTCATTCCATTGTCATCTTTGTGTGACAACATTGCTCGCAATACCATACTGTCATAAAATTTACAAAACAATCTTGAATAATATATATAAACATAATTTTTTTGTCTATTTTACACTAAGTTCATCAACTTCAGATTGCGTAAATTTCACCTTTGTTAGCACTTTTCAATTAAATGTTTAACAGGTCTTTTTAAAACTCTCCGTATTAATTCATATATCATTTGAAAGTTTGTTTTCTAGAGCACAATGTTGGGTAGTCCATATATCATATATCTATAAGAGATGTGTTCATGTGACAAACAGTAATGTTTATGCTAAGTGTGTTTCTATTGCGTTAGCTAATCTTTACGTTTTCTCAAAATGATGTTTCCTGTACACCAAGTCATATTCCTGACCCTTCAAAGCAGTTAGAGCTTTGAGCCACCTTAAGTCTTATAGCAAGACATTTAGAGATGTTGATGAAAGTTCTCATTTTATGTGGCATTCAAAATAGTGGGGGAAAAAGGGTCCGTCACATATATGACTGGTATATTTTCAATAAATCCATAAAAAAACAATATTTTAATAAACTGTTCTGTAAATGTCTGGCCATTCAGACCATTCAGTCTCTGCTTTAAGTCTGGATTATTCCAACATCACATGAATAAACCATCAGTCAGTGCTCATCCCTCCCTTTCCAAGCACGCAAGAGAAGCTATGGTGATCAACATGCTCTGTTGGCTCAACGTAACGACAAAGACAAAGACTGTAACAAATGAAACACTACATTAAATATGAATCTTAAATCTGTTGTCAGTAGCCATTTATATGCATACATGAGGGAAGACAATAAAAAGAAACATGAGGGGGAAAAACGTGACAGATGATCCACTCATGAACGCGGTGGTACCCCACGTGTGCATGTTGTGTGTTTGTGTTCAGGTGTAGTATGTGATAGATGATGGATGATACGACTGGTAGATGAAAATGGAAAATCACAGTGGCATGTGTGTCCGTGTCTGTGTGTGTGTTGGGTAACAGACTTCATTTGAACAGAGTTTGTTGCATACAATGGCAGTAGTAACACACACACACACATACACACAAGTGCTGTCTGTCAAAACACAGGAACTCTTCTAGGAGGGACATGATGATGTCAGAGAGGAGTTGCTTAGCAACTCACCGTATGCCGTCACGCCGAGTGCATTACGATAGCAGAGGGAAAATACACACATGCACATAGACTAGACTCATACTCAGGGATCTTAAGTAATGTAGAGCTACACAGCTCACATATACACGCACACTCCCACACACACACAGGCAAACACACAAATATGTGAGTCATCTGATAAATATGAGTCATCCACCCCAGAGGGGGTTGAAGAGACGCATGATGGGAAATTGTGATGTCAGTGACCTTTCAAGCCCTTTGAACTGATGACCTGCTGTGTGGTAGGTGTGTGTGTGTGTGTGTGTGTGTGTGTGAAAGAGCCGGAATGGAAGAGAAAATCTCCTTATATGAAAAATATAGATATAGAAATAAATGTAGAAAAATAGTAGATTTCCCAATTTATACCTATTCACTCTTTGTGAGAAAAAGAAGCAGCTAACACCTAACAGATTCTGTAGCTGCAGGACACACACACACACACACACACACACACAGTATGCTTATCTTGTTAACTAATTGAAGCTTCTGCATATTGAAACTGGAATTCAACTGAGAAGACTGTGTGATTGGAATAATTGAAAGGGGAGTCTGTGGCTGCTGCTGTGCTGCTTAGCTGTAATGCAACCAACTGGAGTCAGCTTTTATTTTGAACAACTCTGCACTCAGTTCACTCTCAGTACACTGATCCCTGGTGTGCCACCAACTCCCCATGCTCTTCTCAGTTTATACTCTAAGTTATAAGAAAGTCCAGTTTTAACGGGGACGGTTCAGCACAACCTTGATCGAACGCTGACTCAACTCCTCTGCATCAAAGATGTTGCATAAGCAGGCCCTTTGCACAAATTTGCTCAACTTTAGTCATCATTGTTATTCATCAGGTACTTTCCACATGAGGGCAAAAGTACATTTACTGTGAGTTATGTACTTCATTTAGTGTGGACGAGTGCCAGAGATGCTAAGTTATTTTAAATGATTTGTATTCATGTATTACAAATGTGTGTGTGTATTTAGGAGATGACCCATTCCTGGCCTCCTCCTCTCACAGCCATACACACCCCTGGGAAGGCTGATCAGACCAAGTTCCCCATCCCAAACAAGGTTAGTATGAGTTCTTTCGTTGTCAGACACCTTTGTTTCCCTAAGTAAAATAAAGCCTGCTCACATTGAAGCCTATTAGTGCAAATTCATTTTAGATGACAAGCCTGGTAATGTACGCTTCCTTAAATGGTGTTTTCATGTTCTCTACTTGTACTCTGACTGCATCCTTTTCCTTTATTAGTGCAAGAGTCAGTAAGTTATATATGTGAAATATGTGAAACAGTTGAAAAACCTTCAGTTAGTAGTGGCTCATCACAGAACTAGTCACTGGAAATATTCAGGCTGCTAAATTAGATCTGATTCATAAATTCACGGCGGCAGTGATAGCTGCGATTGAATCAGATTACTGTTGCCTCATCCTGTGTAGTGGCACAAGTGACAGCCAATGAAATTACAATGTTAATTAAGTAATGCATGTTTAATTCACCTCCTGTGAGAAAGTGGACATGCTCTTGAAGAGAGTCACTTCTTCTCTAAAGATGTCTGCTCTGTAGCTGTTAATAGTTGCTTGTTAAACAAGGCACCCTTTATAAATCCTTTTTTTTTGTTGAAATTAATCACTTTATTAATGATTATTTAATCTAATGGTTTATAGTAAGTTGTAAGCCATTAAATAGAACACATCCTGGGTTGCTAGGTTGGGAAAATCTTTTGGCTGGTGTTTATTCTCCTCTAGTCGGACATTTTATGGTCTTTTCATTGTTAATTTATTAAATCAAAATTAATATTACTATTTAACAATTTATTAACATTTATTGTAATATTAACATGGATTTTATTACAAATTACCTTCTTGACAACTTGGCTATTTAAAAAGTCAACAACTAAAGAGATTTTTCCCAACCTGGCTACCCAAAATATATTTAAATGAATGACCTATAACTGATATGTAAAGCATTAGGAAATTATTTACTAACCATGACCACACTAGCGGGACGGTAATTTTACAATTATTTCTACTCCTGTCTCATAGCTGTCTGCAAACCATGCCTTTTTTGCAGAGCAGTTTTTATAAAAGTGGATGGTTCATCAACGCTTATAAGCGACGATAACTTGCTCCATCTGGAACAAATTTCTTCAGAGGTCAGCTTTAACTGATTTACTTAGTTCCCTCCACTCAGTCAATTGGAATATGTTTATTTATGATGATACAAACTGGTGCGACCAGGCCCACAGAAGAAGAGGCCTTATTAGAAAGTGTACTAATGTCAGTTTCTTAACATAAAGAAACACTTCAGTCCACTTCCATTTTTCTATTTCAAAAACTTGTGGTGTGCAACAAATGATTTTCTGTTCATAAAAAACAGAAACATGTTTGAGAAGTGAAGTGCAGAAATATGACAATATTAACAACAACTGAGACACAATAAAAGCAGAGACTGAAGAATTGCCACTACAAAAATGCTTTATGACACCATGTAATGTAAATAGAGGGAATCATAGTGACGTTAAAACACAATTGTTATAATCAACATTTATCTCAGAAATGGCAGGAATGTTGTTGTCACATTGGTGGTTATGTCAAAAGAAACAGAAGTAAACACGAGGCAGCAAATCTGACCTAGTAGTTAATGAATTAGGAAATACTGTTGTGGCGCTTTCAGCCCCCAGCGTGACACTAATCCTGACAGTGAGTTTTAAGAATGAGGTGGAGCGTCGACGCAGGGAGATGAGAAGATCTGAATTCTGTGTAATGGCATCGTTGTACTGCTGTGAAATCAATAATGACATCTGTTGGTTTATTCATTCAACTCATCGCCCTCTGGCTCTGGCTCTCTCTCTCTCTCCATCTCTCTAGGAGTCACAGCATGTGACCTCGGGCTACAACACTCAGAGTAAGTCTCCCGGCATCAACACTCACATACTAGCACTGTGATAATTAACACTGGTGAGGCCATAAAGGTAATACCACCCAGAAGAAATGTAAGAAAAGCAGCTGATGTTCAAATGATTTCATAGCCACAGGAGCATGAAAACCTTTGCTTTTATCTTTTTGTGTTCATCTAAACAAGCGATGAGAAAAAACATGATTTTAAACACACTTCAGTTGATTCAATGATTCTGGAGCCAATATTTTTTTAATTATTAAAATCAGCTCCCCCAATAGGACCACAGACTTTGTTTAGATGTGGGTACTGAAATACACCAAACTGTGATTTATTCCATTTGTGGACAGTTACACATTTGGATTTTTTTTATACAAGCTCACACTTACAGTAAAGTGCTGAGTGGAGGACCTTATCATGTGCTTGTGTTTGAACTTACAGCATCAAGTGGGCAATATGGAAAAACTTTGTCACATACAGTATATTTAATATACTATATTATATATTACATATATGTTATTTTAGATGGCAATATTGATACATATAGTAATAAAAATACAATAATCTGACTGTTAGATCCAATTTATACCTGCCATTTATACACTGTCTGTTCCATACAGGCTGTAACAACATGTTACAGTATTGTGAGATGAAGGATTATGGTCAGAATGTGATCAGATTTGCTGGATCATTTAAAAATGTGTGATATTGACCAATGTATTGGCCACCAATACTGCCTTAAACCTGATCATTGATTGGCCTCAATTGTCCAATACAATAACATATTTTGAGGCGATAGCTACTGCATAGTAAAATCCAGACCAGTCGATAGACTCTCTTTTGTCTCATGATATATATATATATATATATAAATAATTATATTGCCCAATACTGCATGTGGTACATTACTGTAGTTTTGACTTTCTGTGTTGGCATCAGATCATCAAAAGCTCCTCTGAACTGGTGCTCTTTTGTTAACCCTCATCTTGTAGTGTTTTGATATGTTTGTGATGTATATAAAACTGAAATATTCCCCCACTGGCAGGGTTTTTCTCTCTGATATGAAAAGAAGAAATACCCCAGACTAGAATTTAAGATATGAACCACAACCTCAAGATTTTGTCAGGCTGTGGCATTTCAGTTTAAATGTTATTGTAAATGGGTATTTGCTTTGTGTTTTTATCCAACCTCCTGTTCTCTAGCAAACACACACACACACACACACACACACTCACGCACACTAATTAAATAACACTGGAGCAGAGTGTCATGTTTTCCAATGTGACAAAAGCATTACACATCTGCAGTGATTTCAGCCTGGCTCCTTGTCAAACAGTAAGTACTAACAACCCAAGACACATGCAAAACAGTGATGCTCGAATGTCCTCTGTTGTATTGCAGAGCGATGTACTGTATCAGCTAACAAGCCTGCTGCTAAACCTCCAACTGCACCACAAAAGTCGTGAGTATCTTGCTCTCTGACACGCACACACACACACAGGGAGTTTTTGACCCACTGCTGCTGCATTTGCCTCAAGGTAAAATTAAGCTTGACTCGTGGATGAAATTCACTGCTAGTAGGAGGAAAAAAGATTGTGTGGATCAGAGCGGGAAAGTGCAGCTACATTAATTTACCGTGAGCCAGGAACATATTGCAACATCTCTGGCTGCAGCCCACTCCACTTCACTCACAGAGCTGTACCACAGGATCCATGGCAGGTTGCGATAGCGATGACTCTGGTTTATCCTGTGCCTCACCACAACAAGCTTAATAATTTTTGTTTTAGAAACTGATAGTTCTGTCTAGTGATTGTCTAATCATAGCTTAGTAACTGTAGTGGCAAGGCCTTAAGTCTTTCCAAAATAAAAAACACAAGAGGAAAACTATAATAAATTGATTAAACAGCATGAAAAATGCTCAAATGTAAGCTGCAAAAATATGCGTGTCTAACTAACTAGCTTGCTACTAACAGAAGTAACCAGACCCAGCTTTACTTCCAAGAGCTAGGAGTGTTATTAGCTAACTACATTTTGTGGGGGTTGTAGGTTAGGCAAAATAAAAATAAAATAGTAAATCTGCTGTGTATTATTTTCCCACTGTTTGAAAGCTGGTGCCGGACGCTACTAAATCAGAGTGTAACGTTAGCAGCTCTGTCCTGATCTTTATTGGATTTGGGGAATTTTGCACTCCAGCTACTCCAGCCAAATGTGTTATCCAAGATAGCTTTATGTTAGCCAAACATTTTGGTCTAACAGTTATGTTAGAATGAAATAAGAGTCTGATTTTACATTTACAGTTCCTTACTGAACAACGCAGTAACATTACAAGAACAATACTGCTCTTTTACTTCCATGTCATGATCAGAATCAGAATCAGAATCAGTTTTATTGCCAGGTATGTGTACACATATGAGGAATTTGACTCAGGATTGTACATTGCTCACGATGTGCTTACTTATACAATAATAAATAATAATATAATTATAATAAAATAAAATCAGACACAAACTACAGAGTAGACAACACTAATATACACACTATGAACAAAACAATATAGACATATTGACAAATAGTGCAGTGATCAGGTACACATACACATACACGCATACATGTACACATGTACACAGTGTGATGGAGCATAGTGCAAAGGATGCTGGATGATGATCACATGTATCATAAACTGGTGAGAAAGCGGACTTTTCTTCTCAGATATATAGCTTTAGTACTACCTGTGTGTAGCCATCGAGTGCACATTTTAAAATGGAAACTAAAAAGTCAGCCAGAGCCTGTTTTTGCTACTCATGCTGCAAACATTAGCTTAATTAGCAAGTTATCGCTGATAAAATCTGCTAGTCACAGCTGTCATTTTAGCTAGCAAAACTGTATAGTCATCAACAAGAAATGAGAAACCTGCTTTTGTCTACATCTCTCTGCCATCAAAGGACTGGAGAAACTGGTGGAACTGTTTCAATGTATCAATCAGAATATTATCTTAATCCACTTGCAGACACAAGTGTGACTTCAGTAGTTTTTGCTTTCCTTCAAATGTTTTGCTACTTCTTGTTTAATTTCTTCATTCATCTGGGCGTGAGGTTTTTTGCTCCACTGTCACAATATCCCTTAAAAATGAGTTCAATATGACAACTCCTGTGTTACTACCTCTAATGAGAGTTTTCAAGTGCAATGAATTATTTATGCATCTGATGAAAGCTAATTTAAAAAAGGAGAGAAAATGTGGCAAGCGTGGTGTCAAAAAGGGGCTTTTGAAAATGAGAAAAACTTGTTGGTCAGAAGATGATGCAAAAATCCTGCAAGTTTAGAAGATGTCGAGGCAATCTATAGTTAGCAGTAATTTAGCTTGTTTGATTAAAGTTCCAGGTCAGCATGTAAACTCTTATTTTTTCCTCTTTGGATATGTAGTTAAATGGTTAATTACATCTCTATTAGGATGATGTCTGCTGGAGCTGTAGTGCTTTTTGTGGCTTATTACACTGCTTTGCTGCCAAAGCTGATAAGCCTATTCCTTTTGATTACTATTGTTTGCCCTGAGGTGTCATTCCCCCCATCTTGTATTCATGCATAAATGCTGCTTTGTTTATTAGGGTGAAATAATTGTTATTGGTTAAAAACAATGCCTAGTTTATTGCAGCCATTAGGCTATTCTCTACTTTTACTGTGATGCTCAACAGCGTAAAATGTTGCTGAATGTTTACTATGTCTGACCATTACAGAAAACTCATCCAACCGTAATCCCTCTCAAAGAGGCTCTGTACCTTAATGCCACATTAGCCATAACAAAAGCAAGAGTACTTGTGGTGTTTCATTACTGTATCCAGCTGAATACTATACCCTCCTGCTGTAGGAGTTTCATTAAGCTCTGATCCAATCACATGATATTGAGACAACTGCATGCATGTAACAGAGCAGAAGATGTGGAAGCAGTGGAGTGTCTAGTGGAAGCAGCTTTTGTGTTTGCTCAGTCTACAGTGTGGTTGTCTCACCTGCTGGCAGCAACAGAAACCCAGAGAACTCCTGGGTTCTACTTTTTATTGTCACTGACAGTAGTGCTGAAGAATTAAAATGAATAATGGCACAGATAATTATAGTAATGTTAATGATAATATAAAAATAATAGGACTAGAAATAACAATTGAAGCAAAGGGTGTTGAGCAGGAACATGGTGGCAGCAGGTGACTCGCAACCACAGATCCAGACTCCACAGCTCCAGAGCCAGAAACACCTGAAGAAAGTGATAGAAGGAGAGAGGAGAGGGATGAGAAAGCACAAGACTACGGGTTATGGGTTCTCTGTTTTGCTCAGTGTGTAAAGAATACCATCAAACCATGTTAACTCTGATGCTTCGTCACCACCAAGTAGCAGGTGACTGGTCAGAGGAGGACAAAAGGACAATAAGCAGCCAAAGTGTTATTGGGATGGTATAGTGGGAGTAGGAATGATTGTTACAACCTCAAATAAAAAGCCTATGTTCATATCAAAATTTAGTGTTTCAATATCCCCACCAAACTGCTCATAATATTCAGCCTAACATAAGAAAAATGAAACCCATTTACTTTAACGACTGCGACAGACTGTTTGAAACGGACTGGGAGCAAATAAAAATATAAAACACATCAAAGCATAAGTAGGCTTACTGTAAAAAACCTGTAGGCCTACAATAGCCTAAGGCTTTTTATTGGTCTTTGTAGGATGATATTCTATAGTCTACAAAAGTTTTTCCACATCACCGCAGCAAACATAAAGCAGCCTATAAAACAGTCTGTGGGATCTCCTATATGTAATTTTCCAAGAGAGCTGATTGGTCAGTTGGCGGCGTTTTTATAGAGTCAATCTCTGATCTGGAACATACCCTGCTCTGGAGCAGGTTAGCCGTTACCCCCGGTAAGAAGTGAACCACCGTCCTGGTACTGAAAACCCCAGACACACCTGGCGTGCACTCTTGAAGTTTTCTAATGCATTCAGGTGTAAACAGGGATAGATTTTTTTACAGTACATCTTTTCCCTCAATAATAACACACAATATGAAAGAGAATAGCCAATGAAGCCTCACACTGAAAGCAAAAATCAGATCACATAGCTTCAAACATAGCAATCTTGCTCTTTGTGTTATTGTTATAGAAAATATGGAAGAATTGCAAGAAGACCTCTAAAGATTGCTGAATGTTGAACTTTGGTAGTATTCGGCCTCCAACTACTAGGTTTTTGCATTTATGTACCTAAACCTTTTCAGCTTGTGACATCTTAAAATGAAACTGTCTACTCTCAACCCCTCATCACTGTTTGCATATGTCTTTCATACATGGCCTAATCAATCTAAGGGTGATTTTAATACATTTTAGAGGTACAATTATTAGAGTATTGCACTATGAAAACAAGGCAGTCTGAAAAAGGTTAATTAGGTGCAGCAGAAATCTTTTTTTTGTCCCAACCCCCAGGATGGGAAACACTTACCTACTGACATGCAACAAGTTACAGTATGTGTTTCCCATTTTTGGCATAGCTTTTAAATACCTGCTAAACTGGGATGTTTGCACGAGCAGTGAAGGACCACCTTAAAAAACAATGGGAAGAGCATCGCGTATAGAACATTAAACATTAAAGGAAGATCAAAGGTGAATGTTCGCTTAGTGCCAAAATGGAGCCAAGAAATTACACATTCTCAAGTTAAACCCAGCAGGACAAGAGGCCGAAAGGGACAGAATTAAGGCTGTGAGCTGGTCTGAATAAGGTGATAGTGGACAGTAATACAGAGACATTGGCAGGACACTTGTTCAGCTTAGTTAGTTACTCAAGTGTTTTGCAGTCTGAGTACATGTGCATTTGAAATTGTCTACATCAGAGTGTTGAGCAATTAGTCATTAGCTGAGCGTGGCTTTGATTTAGCTTTGGAAAATATTAACATCCTCTCAGATAAACTTCCGCAAGTAATGGAGCTCTACTAGCGCTTTACTTTAAGAAATAAAAAAGACTCCATTTTATGAAGGCAATTAAGAGCCTTGTAGAAACTTGATGCTGTGCTTTCTAAGCTCTGCGTGTCATGGATGCTTTAGTCCATAACTCATTTATAACTGACTGCGTCTGTCCTCATAGATGCTCCCACTCTATCTTGCGTTTTATTCCTTTCCCCCTCCATGCTTCCTTTCCTCCCTCTCTATTTAGCCTCCATCTCCCTCTCTCTATCCCCCCATCACTCGCTCCCCTTCTCCATCATTATCATCTCCATCTCACTCACTATCTCCCTCTCTCCATCTGTCCCTTCTTATGAAATAAAACATGAATCCATTATTCATTCATTCAAACATATCTATCATCGCCGCGTGCTTATCTGCAAACCTGTTTCTTATTGTGCCTCAGTTATTCACGACTCGTACGGTCCCTTCTGAAAACACCACAACACTGGGGAGTGTTTTTTAGCGGTGCAAGCACTGACAAGAGTGGTTCGTGAGGCAGTAAAAATCCCTTTAGGGGATTCTCCTGTCATAACAATAGCAGTGCCAGCTTAAAATAACGGTAGTTTGTGTGGAGGGTTTATATAAAGCAATAAAACACAGGAACTTGCCAATGCACAGCACATAAATACTGAATAATTTGTGTGGTAAGGAGCAGGTGATGCTATGAGGGAGGTCATGTTATCGACTGTGTCTTGTATATCTGTTTTATAGCCTCTATACATCTATATTATTAGAATTTCATCTCTAGTGTGGGGAGAAGGCAGAAATAATGAAGGACACAGGGCAACAAGCAGGTCCTTTTTCTGATTAGAAGGCCCCCAAAATATCTGCGTACAATCCTGACTGAGGGACTGATCTCAGTCGAGCACGTCCTCTCTGTTTCCAAGGAATTCTTGGCTGTTGGTCAGCGGTTGTCAGACAGAAAGTTTCCAGATGAAAAAACAATCTGGCTTTCCTCTCCAAGCTATAAAAGCTGAACATCTGGTAGGTTTGTATCAGCGACGTGCACTGTCCACTTCCTCATTCCCTAACATGACCCAGCGCTGTTTCTGCCGTGTAATTAATGCATTTGCCAGAAAGGCTCCTCAAAGGGAATACAAGCAGAAAGGAGTTCATGGCTGCAATAACACGTGTCCCTTTGTCTCTGTGCAGAATGTTGGAGGATGACCTGAAGATCAGCAGCGATGAGGAAGAAGCCGAACAAAAGGTGAGCGCCCCCATGCAGTCCGTATCTATGCAAATCATCCCTCGCTCCAGCTTTCCCTCCACCTGTCCTCCAATCAGTTATGCATTCACATACATTAGATTAAATTCATCTTTGTGTGTCTTTGTTACTGATTCATTCATCTGTCCAGAAATCAGTACAGCCTAAACTGAAACTAAAATCCTTTACTTAGGTCAAAGCAAGTTACTAAACTCAGTAGTGGACTTTACTTAAGTAAAAGTAGCAATACCGCACTGATCATTTCAACTCTTTATATACGGTTGGACAGTTTAATCTACAGCAAATCATTATATCAGATGTATGTGGTGTCGCTGTCCTGGGGGAGGGAGTAGAATTTTCTTAACCCATACAAGGTATGAAATTAGTAATCGGAATAGCATCTAGTAACTAAAGCTGGAAGACAAATGGAATAAAGTGGAATAAAATCTCTAATAATTGACCCTTTGCAAAGCCACGCCCCGAATATACAGCTGACCAATCAAAGCGCAGTATAGGACTCGCTGAGGTCCGACACTTTCATGGCTGCGCTCCATTGACTTGTATGCAAAAGGAGTCTAGCTTGTTTTTTGCTGTTTTTTCCCCAACGTATGGTCAAAGCTGTTCCAGGGTCACTTGTAATAGTCACAGTGCCTACCCAGAGAGGTTGAAAGGAGAAGTACGATTCATTCACTTTCCAAAATCTAAAACAATCCAGTAAAACGTCGGCTGTGGATTGTTGCTAATGTAGTGTTAGTTTGCTAACGCTAGCGAAATTACTACTGAATGTAAAGTTATAAAGCCCTACTGTTCTGCTTTTTAATGATTGTAACAGTGAAAAGAGACCTACCCAGCTCTACAGGAACATTGTTGATCCTTAATATCGTTGTCCTCGGTCTCAGGTGATGCAGTGGTTCACTTTTACTCTATGATCAGCAGGCTTTAGCTTCTGTCTTTAATAATTTGTTTTAAAAGTTTGACAGCCTGAATACAACCTTCAAACGTATAATACAAATCTTTCAGTCTCCTTTCTGAGATCGCTTTTTTCCTTTTTCCAAAAATTAGACAGCATTTCTCCAGGGAGAGCAGTTAAGACAGTGGCAGCGCTGTGATATATCCGACAGGTCAGACAGTTTGTCAAACTCACCAACAGTAGCTACGGGAGATGTGGCTTAGCAAGGGTCAGTTTCCTCTGTAGTGGAGTAAATGTATAAAGTTGAAAAGAACAAAAGCATCATAACTAATAACAGGCAACTATTTAGTGAACTCTTCTCCCATTCAGGAGAACGGGGCACAAACAAACTTTGTTGCACATGGCTTTATTAGACAGCTGACAGTAGAGAGATAAAAGGAGAAAAAGGGAGAGAGAGATGCAACAACGGTCGACGGGCTGGACACAAACGTTGCAGTGAAGGGTCATCAGCACCTTAACCCTCAGGCCACCAGGGTACGCCAAGCTGTTGATAAGTTGACTGACAGCGAGAAACACCGAACAGTCGGTTCATGTGCAAGCCTCACCTAAACAGAACACCAGCTTTCTGCTGCTACTGAATGGGTTAACAGGTAAAATGTGGTAAGAATAGTAATAACAATCAAAAGGGGGCACTTGCACATATTTAAATTCTTTGCAGTTGCTAGGTATCGATAATCTGCACTAAAAAACGTACCTGCACATTGCTATTTTCTTCGTTTAGTCTAAGCGGATGCCACAACTTCTTGCGTGATAACACGTTGACATGTCAAACCAAAAAGCGACCAAATCATTATATCACAGACAGCTAAGAAACAAAGTGCTTTAAAACTACATAAAAACTCTGGCCAAAAATTCCAGTAATGTGATTCCACTGAAGTCGTAAAAGGTTTAGGCTGTAACGGCTTGAGTTTCACTGTATAAATACTATGGAATAGGGCTCCTCTTTCTTAAAAGTACTTTTTAACTACCAATCAGTTCCATGAACTATCTTGAAGGGCTGTGAGTTTACACTAGCCGGTCGAAGTGTATACTTTGTAGCAATCAAAGCAATACTTTCCCATAAATGAGCTTATTGTACAGTTTACCCACTTGGAAAGGCTTTATAAACGTTCTGAACTTGATGTACAAGTGTTTATATTCCCTTTGAATGTGGTCCCTAAATGTCACACAACTCAGAGACACCAAGGCAGGACTTCCAGTTGTGACTTTCATAATAATTGCTTTGTTGATGTTGCAAAGAGCTAGTTATTTATAACAGTAATTACTTATTAGTGTTATACATACAATATGTGAACCACGTAGGGGATAAAGACCACAGAGCAAGCTATTTCCATTCATCTGTCAAACATGATAGCTCAGGTAATATGCACCACTGGTCTGAATTCAATTATGGAAGGATGTGTGTGTATGGAGCCTGTTACTTACTTACATATTGTTTTTTGTGTTTTTTTTTTTACTATAATCAGTGTGTCACCTACAAATAAATTCTAACCCACAGAGTAACAGCAGTTGGAGCTCTCAGATTTCTCCTTTTATTAACAATTTACTATTATTATTCTTCCTTTAGGTTTTGTAAAGAATCATTTAAATGCAAATTCAATTCATCAAGTCGTGATAGCTTTTTTTAAATTATTAAATCATTTGAATTAAACATGCTTAAAGTCTATAGTTATTCAGGTGGCACTCTTCAGGCTCTATCACTTCAGGTCACAATATTAAACTTTGAAAGGACATACCTACTGCACCATTGGTCTGATACTGACAGACCTTGGAGTGACTGTGCATCATGTTGTTGTTTTTGCCCGAAAGGGGTGTTTCTGCACGTTTAGTTCAGTCGGGTTTGTCCCGCCGGGGCATATGAGCGATGCAGTTGTCCTGCTCTTCTTGTCTTGTTTATCAGTATGAAAATTGGCATGGTGGCCCTCTCTCCTCTAATCACTATCATCATGCACTAATGATGCCAGGGATGAGTTCAAAGCAGTCAGTGGGGGTCATGCTGCTGTCCCCTCCCCCCACTGTGCAGACTGATATCAGCGCTCATCAAAGAGTCCGTGAGATATTTTCTGTTAATGAAAAGATACCAATTCCTCTCATCCCCTTTTAACTGGCCTTCTGATTGTATAATTACTATAATGGCAGATATTATAATTATAAATGATGGCAGGTCATTTATAGTGGTTTTAGTTATTATAATTATGCTGAAAGTAGATCTGTTAATTACAGATAGTTAGCGTACATTCAGAAGTGTAGCAAGTGGCTTCCTTAATCATGGGGGTTACATGTGATTACTCTTAGTATTAGGATGAATAGACAAGATGGATTGGATACAATTAATTTTAATTCTTTATCTCTTTATTTCTTTATCTCTCTTTATTGCCCTTTTCTGTCAGAAATGCATCTTCGTTTTTTTCTCTTGCTCTATTTCCTGCTGGATCACAATGCCTTTATCTTTCCTTAAAGACAGTGAAAAGTATCTCTTGGTATCTACCAAATATACGTTAAAAATATAAATTTTAAATGTTTTATTTACTTACTGTAAAACATAAAAATATTTTTGACGACTCATCTTAAAATTGGGTGGGCGTATCACTATGTCCACTAAGCCACACACCCTTTTAAGAAGTCAAATCAAATCTGAAGAATTAATTTAAATTCCTCTTGTAGCTATACTCTGACATATTCTGTTTCACAGATAAGACCCTCGAACTTCCGCTTCACTGTGACTTTAAAGGACAACAAAGGATTCACCAATGAAATGGCTCAGGTCTAGGACATCGCTAAAAATAAGCCCAAAAAAACATGAGCAGTCACACAATTGGAAACGTAAACAACATGTAAAATTATTACCCAAACTGTCTGTTGCAAACATCCCTTACAGTTTACAGACCAACATCCTGGTTCAACTTTTACCTACCGTACATATCAGAGTTATGCATCCTCGAGGTTTTCCTGTGTAATGAGGGGTGATTACTGACATTTCAGGTATACTTAGTTGTGATTTTTCCTTATATTGACAAATTTGACTCAATTGTCGGCTGTTTCCAACCTGTGTCGCGTTACACTTTCCTTTTTTTTGCAATGTTGCTAACTCAACGGTAACTTTGGTGAGCACGATGTTATCATAACTGACAGAACTGATTGGCGAAGCTACAAAAATATAACCAAGGTTTTAATTTACTGTAGTTTTTCTTTTAAGAATTAATAAATAATTTTGCACAGGTTTTTGTCTCTGTACGGGCACAACGTTACCAAACTTGGCAACCTCACTGTGATGACAAGACACAGTCATTGCACTGTCTATTCATTTGTGGTGTTAGGGGGACTAACGCCACAAATTAATTATTCTTTTTTGTTTTTTTGAAGTATGAGGTACTTAGTCAGTCCCCAGTTTGAAGAAGCAGAGAGTTTTACCAGCACTGAAGCTAAGCAATGTCCTGCTGTGGACAGGGTCACCAGCATTATGTATATTAGCCACCTTAAAGAAGGCCCACCAAAATAATCAAAATCATCTCAAGTGTATGCTATGTTTTTAATATTTTCACAGCTTTACTTTGCTGTCAAACAGCCATTTCCTTTAGAACTACATTTTCTCAACCATAGAACTTCTGTGTTCCTCTGCGTAAGCTCAACTTGGCTGCGTACTGTATAACGTCGCTGGATATCAGCTGCTCAGAGCTACAACTCTGCTTTATGGCCTACTGCAGGTCAGAGATGCTCACAAGTCTTTGAGCTTAAGTCCAAGTCAAGTCTCAAGTCTTTGAGCTAGAGTCCAAGTCCAGTCTCAAGTCTTTGAGCTAGAGTCCAAGTCCAGTCTCAAGTCACTCATGGTTACAATGTGTGTTGTATCCAGGCTGCTTAGAAGACTGCATAGCAAACGACAGTTGGAGTTAACCTCCCGTAGGTCGCAACTAAAGGAAGAAGCAAGCTAACGTTAATTGGCCAATGCTGAGCTAAACATGTTAACTAACCTCAGGTTACTAACCTATTTTGCATTCAGTGCTTCTTTGTTTGGGCCTTGTTGTATGAAGTTTTA